AAAGTTGACCCAGACAACAAAGTAAAGCTAATTTTCGGCTACGAGCCCGACACGAACCCGACTTATTAGCCAGAGGTCTCTTTACTACGGTTCCGAGCCCCAGACCTGTTTTATATATGCGCAAAATAGTTTTCTATAGGAGATCGCTGCAAAACGTGCAGCCTTAACTAATGTCCACCCTACTGTTACTCATTTATATTAAGATTTAAAAATCTATTTGGTATCGGTATGGCGAATATCATTCAGTAATAGTAATAAATCACACAGCAATAGTACATTCATGTAGTTGTAAAAAGCTTGATAATATATTAAGTAATCCAAAGTATTCAGAATACGTTACTCTCATTGAGTAAAGTAACCTTCCCAACACTGCCTATTCTTCAAATTTTTTGTTTGTTTTTTTTTTGCGTATTGTTCAAACTAATGACCTTAGCAATGTTAGTTTATGTTATCTGTTTATTTTATGTTGACTGTTGTTTCCAGTTCTAAAAAGAATAATCAATTCTAATAACCTAGATCTACACATTGTGTTTATATTGCGCTACACGGAGTTCTGTTGCTCCACTTGCACCGAAGCCAAAGGAATGTGTCATCACATCCAGCAGGACGCTTGACATGTGGAGCAGTCCAGTTGGACTCGCCTGCAGAACAAAAAGAACATTTCTGCCCTGGATCCCAATTATGATAGATAGCATTTTCCCAGTGGGTTTTTGAGTTGAACTGAGTTATATGGCCTCATCCATCATCGGTTTATTTTGCGTTTCTGGCTCTAATGCCTAATTATTTTATTCTTATTTCTGAACAGTCACAACAGTGTAATCAGAGCGTGTCAGAACACAGCGACATTTTTAAAAGATTTCTCTCACCTCGGCGGTGTAATCAATAACTCATTACCACACTAATTTTGAGACATTTCACTGTGCTTACTCTAAACAAATGTTCTCATTGTATGCCACGGGGTATGGAGTGGATATGTTTTAGGAGCAAAACAAAAGATGTTTTTCGTGTATTCCAGATGGTGGAACATGAGCAGGACTAATATTAACAGGACTTCCAAAACCTTAATACACTTTAAAGAATAATATAGAGTTTGTTTGCTGTGTTGGAATGACATAGATAGGACTGGGAGACCTGATGACTGGACCCTAACAGAAATTCAGTAATTGTTTATTTACACCATGGATCCAGATTACAGCTAATGAAAACCATGATTAGATCGAGTATGTTCCAGTCTGGTTCAGTTAGTGTTGACACTCAGGCGATAAAATCTTCACTCCCCTCTAGAGTTTACAATTCTTTTCATCCTCATCCATTCTTCCACATCTTTTCTTTTTCCACATGAATTGCGGTACAGATCTGCAAGCTGAAGAATCAGTGTGTCATCAAATTTGCCTGTCTGTTGACTCAGTAGCTCCATTCTGGCTGCCGGTAACAGAAGAAAGTGTACAAAATAGTCCATATGAGTGGGGTCTCTGGCCTTTTTAGAATGGCAGTTGCAAAATACAGGCAGGTTTTGTTTTTGTTTTTTTTCATGATTGTCTGTTTGTGTTTCAGGATTTACCGGAGAAAAAGGCAACCAGGGCCCTCGTGGAATGAAAGGGTCTGGTGGGGTTGATGGCATGCCGGGAGAAAGAGGAGACGTTGGACCTGCCGGGCCTAAAGGTACATTTGTGGTGCGAGTCGTGATACTAATAGTTTGGAGTTTAATACTAATTAACTTGGCCTGGTCTTATGAGCTCACTGATATTTATGCATGCAAATATGAGAAAGCCAAGTACTGGAAAAGCAAGAGCATACAATACAGAGCTGCTAGAAGGTTGCCGTCCCTTCGCAGGTAACGGTGAGGGTCATATACCAGTCAGAAGGTCAATATATTGATATCACTGACTATTTCAATCTACGTATCAAAGTATCGAGTGGCTCCTGATGCCCCCATGTATGTGTTTAAGTACAGCAAAAAGGTGAATGTGTGGAAAAGGTCATTCCAAGCATGACACAGAAAGAAATCTAGGCAAGTATCAACAAATCAGAGAGAGATTCAAATCAAACAATTAGATGGTGACATTCAAATCCACCATACCTCATCACTTTTCATTGTTGTGTGTGAAGCAGCACTTACAAAAAGCATAAGTTACCACTTTCTACTTTCTTTGTCACTTACTTTGAAACTGGCTTGGCACTGCTCTCTCAAAACAGCTTTTAAAATCTGAATCATATCAACCGGGTTTAAAAACCCTGAGCATCCTGAAAATCTTCTCTGCAGATCTGTGTTTATTTTTGTTCCTACTTTTTTTTTTTTTTTTAAGCGAGTCAAAAGAAGCAGTTAATGCAAGAACAGCTAAATGGCACTCTTAGTCAAATGTGTACAGATCAACCAGCATAAGGTGTCTGCTTTTAAAACGACATTGTTTGGAAGAAGATACATTTTCCTTCAATTTTATTGTAAAATTATTCCTATACAGTAAAAATTGTGGGCTTAGCAAGTTATTTCTGCTTCTTGCTCTCTGGTTAATCTGTTCGCTCTTGTGCAGAGAGAAAGAATTTTTTTTCATTACAACAACATAGAGTGTAATCTTTGCTTTAAAACTATGTAGGCAGTTGTGTGTTTGTGGAGCAACAGCTAGTAGCCACATTAAAATAAGTTAGTCATACTCTCACACAGCAGCTCATCAGTACGGATGTCCTTTTTCTCCCTGTAGTCTTGTATAAATCACATATTAATCTTAACAACACTTGCCTACTGAAAGACTCAGTCCTCAGATGACTCCATGACTTGTTGACCTTTATGTCACTGAAAAAGTTCCGTACCAGGATTTATCAGGAACACAACACTTCTTACATCACCAACAGGTGCTACTGTTTGCTTTTTGTCTTTAGCCATGGGAGCTATATTCGCTTATACTCTCCCATTTATTCAAGCAAAACACCTGTCTCTACTTATCTAATAGGTTTTCCATTCAATGAAATGCAAGAAATTATTGGATGTTACCAGAAACCGTGATTATCAACTAAACAGCTGGAAAGCAACAATATTTCTATATTATTAGCTCCAATGGAACAACTGTCAGAAAAAGAGAGGAAAACTTGTTGATGCGTGTGTACGTACTCATTTTCCAGTATGCACTAATCCAGCCAGTTTTTCTTACTGCCCCCATCCATCATGTTGTCATGACACAACCCCTCCAAATCTACCATGGAAATTAAGATCCAAGAAGCATGCACTTAAACAAATTTCAACCACATTCTGACACAGAAACCTGAATAACATATTTAAAGGTACTTTTGAATAGAACCCACACACCTTTATCATTATAATAGGATCATATTTTATATGTGGCAAAATCCATAATGAAGAACTAATACTGTCTGACAACTCAGTATATCACTATATACAGTGTGGGGAATTTACCAGTAGTTTTCCATTCCACTCTGTAAATGTTTTTACATGTTTTCCACAATGTGAGAACAAGGATAAATGCCATCTTTAAGCTTGGATAGTGTCCATTATGTTGTTATTTCTTATTTTCTGTCTTTATACTCTCTCATCATCTCTCTAAATCTACATAAACCCCATCGGGGGCTGGACAGCGCCAATGATAACAAACACACACTGAGATAAACACAGCTCTGAATTAATCATAGCCGTGACTAATATGATAAGGCACTGCAGTCTAAGAGTTTCTTGTGTGGACATGTCACTGTGTATGTATGCGTGTAATGTGTCTTTAGCCGACAGCTGTTGCCAATCAGATCGGGGTTTGGCTGAATTGTCCAGTGTTAAGTCCCACAGTCCAAATGTTGGCCGGTAGCTCTTGAAATCTTGGACCTGTTGTCTCCTGCACTTAGCTGTTATGACTCAACTCTCCCTTTTTTTAGGCATTTTTACATAGTGTAAAATAATGTGCCTTTTCATGCTCATTTTATACAAATGTAAAAGACTGTTTTTATTGTGTTTACTAGAAGAAAGATGCTAAAGCACTAGGAGAATAAGATAAACTGAGACAAAAACCAAATATCTGGTGGCAGAAGGGTCATAGTGTGGGGTCTCCTAATAGACCCCATTGTTAGGACTAATTCCTGGTAGAAAATTCGAGTTTGAAAGCACCGGACACTTCATCAGCTTGAATTATACCACAATGCAACACAATAGTGATACGGATAATGGATATGCTCGATGGTAATCGAGGAGATCTACCTTCAGTTCTTTAAATCAAATTTATAATGAAGTAGGCCATATGAAGAGGATGCTAGGGAAAGGGCACATAATGCTGTTGTTACTCCTTAAGGCAGGAGTGGGGGAACTCCAGGCCTCAAGGGCCAGTGTCCTGTGTTTAGATATCACCCTGGGTCATCACACCTGAATCAAATGATTAGTTCATTACCAGGCATCTGGAGAACTTCAACACATGTTGAGGAGGTAATTTAGCCATTTAAAACAGCTGTGTTGGATCAAGAACACATCTAAAACCTGCAGGACACCGGCCCTCGAGGCCTGGAGTTCCCCGACTCCTGCCTTAAGTGCACACCAAAAGTATTAAAATGTAATGTAAAGATGTAAATAATCTCACGGGCGATCGTGGCTGAAGAGTTCGGAGTTCGCCTTGTAATCGGAAGGTTGCCAGGTCTAGACCAGGCTTTGGCAGGCTTGGACTCTCGGTCCTTCGGCAAGACACTTCACCCGTTGCCTACTGGTGGTGGTCAGAGGGCCCGGTGGCTCCAGTGTCCGACAGCCTCGCCTCTGTCAGTGCGCCCCAGGGTGGCTGTGGCTACAATGTAGCTTGCCATCACCAGTGTGTGAATGGGTGGATGACTGGATGTGTAAAGCGCTATACAAATACAGGCCGTTTACCATTTAATCTTTGGTCAGAGGATGAAATCAGCAGTCATATCAGATTAGAACAATTCTTCCATTATTTGTTTTTCCATAGATTTCAGGAGTGCCACATCTCCTCATTATGTGATGTCTCTTTAATATAATGTATCTGTAGTGATAGCAGACATGTTCCACTACTGTTTTACTGTAAAAAGTAACTCTATGAAGAGTCCTTAAACATGGGTTTCACAAAAGCTGTTCTTATACATATAGCACGTCATATTCTACCACTGCCTGTCACTCATGTCTTGAAAGTAGAGGGAATTATAATTTATTGCTAAACATGTCCTGTATTTTAATAGTATGACATAAGCTTGATTGAAGCCATTAGAGGAAAACTCACTTTACATCCATTATGACCAAGCAGGCGTGAAAAGATTGTCACCTACAAAAACTCTGGCATTGTCTGCATTATTTGATTGACAACTTAGTTATGTAGCGAGCAATACAAAACATCACACCAATAACCATTTTACACAGAAAAACAAAAATTAAGGTAAAGTGAAGGACACAGGAAACTTCACATCTAGATCCCGGTAGTTTGTAGCAGTGTGTATTTCTGCTTTACGCGTCTGTGGTGCAGTTTCAGGTTTAACAGACCAGTGAAGGAGGAAGGCTTTGGAGAGACTCGGCTATGAATGGGGCCTCAGTATAAGACAGTCATCCAGGAGGGAGGAGGGAAAACAAAAAACTTGTAAAAACAGCACTGGGAAGTCTCATGGTTTTTTATAGATGAACGGTGGGAAGAATATATAGGGACTGCAGAAGGTGTTGGCTGTTCCTTTGGTTGTCAGATCAGTTGTGGTTGCTGACAGTGTTTTATGGTATTTCTGGGTGCGTAAAGCTGGACTTTTTTTAGCCACTGGGGGACAGTAAAAAACTGACAACTCTGAAGTGCTGTGACATTGTGAAGTGTTTACTGCTAACGTGTTAGCAAACTGTTTAATACATAAAGCAGACACAAAGCAATTTTAGCAATTTGGCCCCTGGAGGGCAACTTCTTTCAACTCTACTTTGGTTTCTACCAACACTTACGGAAAACCGCTTGGGTCTTTAGTCTTGTGTTTTTTCATAAGCTAGATGTTATTTTTGTCTCTCTGTGGCTCTCATGCTGTCTTACCTTTTCAGATTTACAGCTGGCCAAAATTAGTAAAGAGCTGTTGTTAGCTGATCATACAATTAAATAAATAGAAACCTTGCATTAAGAGCAGTTTGAAGCCTGACCTTTACAGATTTATCTCAGAACTTTAAAACTTTTGGCCTTGTTTCAGGCTTATATGTAAGTAACCTAATGATTCTTATTAGTCTATAGTTCCCAAAAATGTTTCATTGCCATATCAAAAGATGATTTAAAAAAATTATATTAATGCATAACAATATTTTCCCTGTCTAGCTGATATTTGTCTTTGCTTTTTTTTTTTTTTTTGCTGATATACCATACGTTTCTTTCCTTTCATGCTGGTGGAAAGAGGAAAAAATGTATACCACAAGGTTGACTTAAACTCGCATCCTGTTGCTCCCTTATGCTACTTTGCTAACTGTGCATCACATGGTTTATAAGGCTGACATAAGGGGCAGTCAGACATAATGCTTTTAACAGTCCGACATGTTACTGTAAGTTCACCGTACAACAAATGAGACTTTAGTCATACAAATGAAAAGAGTTTGAAGGTGCTTATATAACACCTTTCTCCTCAGTTGACCATTTAAAGTACTTTTTAGTAAAACTCAACCACCTGGGCCACAGCCAACCCTGCACAACATTATGTCAGGGTCTCTTTAAGCCATGTTTGCTGGGATTATGGCATCTGTGCCTCTGTGAATTAACCTTATGGGAATACCCATATTATTTAAATGCATCATTGACTTGCACCTTAATCCACTGGCCAGTTGTCACTAGGCTTGAGAATTTTTCTGACATGAACATTTTAACATTTTGACAAAAAAAAATGAAAACCACAATGGGTCACATTGAACATAAACATTATTAAAAGTCTAGAGCCATTACTTACTGGAATGCAGTGATAATGAATATACTGATCTTTAGTAGGTGTTGTGTAGCTGTGACAGTGGACCATATTGGTTTAGCACACTGGAATGCTTGAATTTGCTCATTACCACAAAATAGTAAATACAGCTGACGCTCATTTGTTTTTTATTAAAGGTATTTGTTCATAAGCCAAAAATATAAATTAAGAATTTACTTGCTGTTGGCACTAGATGAAAAGTGTGATGCTAATCAAAGTTATGACAGTTTATCCTGAGGGTTACCATAAATATTTGTACTAAGGCTTCAAATTACCTTACAAAATTCCCCTCATCTTACCCTTTGCTGCCTTTCAGGACCACCAGTATGCAAAATTACTCAGTGAGGGTTTAAATCAGACGCATCTGTTGTCTCTTGTGGCTCAGCAGTAGCCCACCACTGTGTTTAGGTTTTCCCTGCAGTGTTATTTAGTTGTTAAGGATGTGGTCAGGATAGAAGTGACACTGAAGGCTGAGGACGTCACGTGGAGGGTGTGTATAAAGGGTTAGCTGCCCTGCTTAGACACACACACAGGCTGTAACACATGTGGCTGAGGACCACCACAGCTTGCACCTACACTGTGGTCAAATTAAAGGTGGGATAAGTGCCCATTCAAAGCCGATCCTCTCGTTGCTTCATGACAAAAACAGACTTGTGGTTTTTAAACCTCATGGCTGAGAGTTAGCAACTGGCACTGAAACTGAAATGCTCTCCAACTTTGGATGGCTAATTCATGGGAATTTGTAATAACATTATATTTTGAAATGAAAACAAATAAGACATAGTCGTATCCAAGCTTCTGATTGGGGAGAGGTGTCGTGCATAAATGTACTGTAATTTTACACAAACCACAAATGCAAGGATTTTTACTTGCAGTAATGTCGCTGTTTTGTATCCCATTAACTTTTCCATCCATGTTGTAATAGCCTAAGCAATTACCTTAAAAAGATTTTTGTCAGTGCATTTTCATTTTGTTTTTCAGCTCTTCTCTGCATTAATATTCACATATACACCACAATGTTTAGAATTTATTTAAGAAGAGGATTCAGGGCGTAGCCACATGTATGAGAAGTCAATTACAGGCCTCATGATTTAAGAGACATTAGCTAAAAATATACAAATGAGAGGAAATGATTGAGAAGTGAAGAAAAGGTTCAGATGTTTTGAGACTTCTCAGTGGTTGAGCTGTTCTCATCTCTGAGGGTTATGGCTCTTGGTCCTGCTTGTTTTTTCACCTCATTTCTGCCCCATTTTGTGCTACATTGCGGTTGGCACTGTGTGTAATTCAGTCTTGGTTGTGTTCAGTTTATGCATAGCTTGCTTCCCTTTTAACTTTAACCAGGATTTTATTGGATATTATGATACAGACAACTCTCCTTCCCTTTTCACTAAACCAAATTTTGACAGAAAACACTGAAAACGATTTGATTTGTTGTTACAATTTTTACAAGTTTCAGTTATTCATGATTAATCCCTAAACTCATATCCCTGGTTTCTGTTATTTTGTGTAAAGTAGGATGAAAATATGACAAATATCACTCAGTCTAACTGAACAAACAAAACTTAAGTATTTACCATCATTTCTATTCGTAATGACAAATTTACTAACATATTGGTTCTCTAAGAGATCAGTACAATGACTGAATTTACATGCTCAGTACGAAAGGGTGTAAAATTTAAGAAAATACCCTATGTTAGAATTTGATAATAGTAACACATCCCCTCTGCATTTAACAACAGTCTGTAAACATCTGGGAACTGAGGAGAACAGCTGGTGAACTTTTGGGGGAGGAATGAGTTCCCATACTTGTCTGATATCCGTTTCTAGCTGCACAACAATCTTAGGCCTTCTTCACATATGACTTCTTCGCATGAAGGAGCTTTAACCTGCATTTGTGGATGGCACAATGAGCTGTAATCACAATGATTTCTGGAAGTGTTCCTGAGCCCACGCAGTGCTTTTCACTACAGATTCATGCCTGTTTTTAATGCAGTGCTGTGTGAGGGCTCAGAGGTCACAGGCATCCAATGATTGATTTTCAGCCTATTCCCTTATGTACAGAAATTTCTTCAGATTCTCAGAATCATTTGATGAATCATGTAAAGTAGATCCCGAGATAGTCAAAGTTCTTGTTCCACAATTTGTAGGTGCTGGGTTTTTTGTTTTTTCAGATTTTTGAACTTCTGCCCACTTTTACTTCTGAGAAACTCTGAGAACTCTACTCTGAGATGCAATTTTATACCCAATCATGGTGCTGACCTGTTACCAGTTAACCTTTTTTGTTGTAAAATGTTCCTCCAGCTGTTTCCTTTTAGTACCTCTTACTGTTCCAGCCTCCTTTTTTCCTTGATTTCATATTTTATCTAAATGTTCTATACTACATCGTGCTTAATCATCATGTACTGTGACATAAAACTCTTTAAAGTAATCATTATCGACATTGTCAGTAAATCAGTTGTCTCGTGCTGTTTTGTCCTCAGGTAACCGAGGAGAAAGGGGTTTCAAGGGAGAGAAGGGTGAACGGGGTGAGCGAGGAGACAGATCAGGTGAGAAAATGATGGCCAAGTCCAGTCCACAGTGTGCAAGGGACAATGTGTTATTTAGCTGTTTGTAGCTAATATTACATAACCTAAAATGTTATATGTAATATCATTCTGCCTGTTTGTACCAACTCAAGTAGTATAGCTGCAAAGAACCAATCCATACAGGTTCATTTTATCCTGATTTGTATAGTTTTTTAAATGCATTTATAATATTTTTTGCACACTATCATACCAGTTTTACAAAAACATTATACTCCTTCTGTTCTTCTACTCTCCTTCTTGATGAACAACTATGAGAATAACAAAAGTTGCAGACCTGCAACCGTTTTATTTGGCCCCAAAATAATAACTTCCTTTAAGTGATTCCAAGTCCCTCTCTTTTTTTCAGTAAGTTTCATTAACGTCTTATTGGCAGCAGTAACTGCAGCTTCAAAGTTATTAGATGACCACACATGCATGCAGGCAAACTACTACAGAAACAGTAAAAAAGGGAACATGGTCTGCTAAAAGATTCAACAGGCAAATTAAGTGTTTTATAGACATCACTGTGGACAGAATATTAGATGTACAGTAATCTACCCACTAATTAGTAGCATAACAAACTGCAGATTATTCCAATGAGACTTTTTTTCCACCATCTAATCCAGCAAAGTGTCTTTGGTTGCTTTGTTTTTAAATTAAGCACTTTACTTTCTTTGATTTATATTCCTGTTGTTATGTTGATTACTTGCAATTTAACCAAACTTTCAGACACAGAAATCAACAAGGTCAGTATGAAGCTGTAAGCCTTGACCAAGATCGATTCCCTCACCATGCATGCTGAAGGATATCTGGATGGAGATTAGTGTAGCAGTGCCCAACTGAGCTGATTCTATCCATATTTAACCTTTAAATGGTAAATGGCCTGCATTTGTATAGCACTTTACACTACATTCACCCATTCACACACTGGTGATGGCAAGCTACATTGTAGCCCACAGC